CCCTTCCGAGATGCGGCAAGACCACTTTTGCTGCCGGCTGGTACTGGAATTCCGATCACACCGAGAAGGCTTGCGACGCAAGTGCATGCGGGATGTCGGTCACCTGCCACCACTTGCCAGCGACAAGGTTGCCGGGTCCATTGACGCAGACTTGCTGGAGATTGAAGAGGTGCTCGGCGTGCGATACTGCGATCCGAGCCAGATGACTGCGGTGGCGCTGAGGAACCCTGTCGATGAAGACGACGAGCGCTTAGAGTACCTCGTCTCTGGCAGGTTCGGCAGTGGTCCCGACGACTGTGGCTTCCATTCTGTCGCTTGGGTTTTTCACGGCGATGCTGGACCATGCAGGTGCGGACACGGTCAAGTCAGCGATACAAGAGTAGAAGGACCGGCTGGATAAGGAGTTCACGGAGCTGGCGAAGGCGTGTGACGAGGCTGATGATGAGTAGCCGCACCAGCGCAGCGCAGCGGCGGAGTGTGCGACCAGGGCCGGTGGTAGACAGTGGACGCGGTGAGGCTGCTCTCTGAGCAGTGAACCCAAGCCAAGAGCATCATGAGTGTAATCTGGGTCATTTGTATCACAATATCACCACACCGCCACGCTCGCAAGGGCCGCCTAAGCGCCTAAGCACCCTAAGCACCCCCCCGCTTAGGCCGCTTAGGCGCTTTAGGCGAGTGACGGCCGGCAGCCCGGGGCCTGGCGTGCCTCCCCCGTGGACTGAGCGCCTGGGAGAGCCACTCACGGCCGGCGCCTCGCTAAAGGCTGTTTCGACATCCACTTGATCACCATGACCTCAGCCAGAGCCTAGGCCCTCAATGCCTCTCAAAAATTCGGGTCGGAGCGTAGCGGAGTGGGCCCCGAGTTTGAAAAAGGCGACGGACGCTTGCGTCCTAGCCTCCAACAACGCCTCCCCGGCGCAGAGGCTGGGGGCCCCGGAGGGATGCACAACCGCTCCATGCCACGCCGCTCGCGGCGGTTTCCCAGCTCCGCGCGTTTTACCGATAGTCGGGTTGCTTCCTTGAGTGGTCGGTGCTCTTACATGTACATTGAGGGTTTTCGCCGCACGCGATTCACGGAGTTTTTTATTTTCGTGTGTTTTTCAATGTCTGAGCTCGGCGCGCGGCACCTGCTAATCAAGTTCGAGGGCTCGCGCAACCCCGTCTCGCGCCGCACCGGAGCGTCCACGAGCGGAGTGACGGCCGCGCAGGCGGAGCAGGAGCTGCAGAGCTACGCTGACAAGGTCCGACCACGCGTTTTTGCGGCTTGCCCTTTAGCGCTGGTCGCTGCGACATTCAGTGACCACCGCTGCCCCGCTCAGTGACCACCGCTGCCCTTCGCGCCCGCAGATCAACGCCGAGGGCGCGAGCGAGGAGGTTTTTGCCAAGTACGCGTGCGAGCGGTCGGACTGCGGCTCCTTCAAGTCAGGCGGAGATCTGGGCCTTTTTGGTCCGGGTCAGATGCAGAAGCAGTTCGAGGATGGCGTGAAAGGCACAGCTGTTGGCAAGATGTCAGGCATCGTCCTCTCCGACTCGGGCTACCACCTCGTCTTCCGCACCCCGTGAGTGAGCGCGGACTAACTGGTAGT